GCTGGCTGAGGAACTCTGGGAGTTGAAGTCCACAAGTCTTAAAGTGGCCAAGGTTGGAGACCCCTGCGCTATAGGCCGGGCATCCCTTCCCTGTCGTGCCTGGACCGAGTCAGGCAGGGAAGGACAGCTCACTCCAACCCTCTCTTCATGGCTCTGGGCGGGGCGGTAGATCAGTTGGCGGTAGTCAAGCCACGAAGTGGGTTGGTCATCCATTGGTGAGGTGACTGGCGTGGATAACCCGGAAAGGGCAGGCTCCCGATATCCCTTCTGCGCTTCACTAACTCCTTTCAGCTGAATTTGATATCGAAGTAACAGTGGCATTTATTCAATCTATAGATTGCCCATTTCCCAGCAACTATGCAGTTTACAAACGTATAAAAAATAAAAGATGACACTAATCAAAAGGAGCAGCGTTGGCAAAGATAATCCAGACAGAAACAAGGGAAAAAAAGTTGGGCATTGATCTCACATATACACACACACACACTTAACAGCCTGAGTGAAGAAACCCAAAAAAAACGTGCTAACCCAACCAGACTGGGCCAAATTATAATGTTTTCATTGTCCATTCCTGTACAAATAGTACAGTAATAATAATACTTTATTTGCGGTCACAGACCAAAACACAAGCACAACAAAAGAAGAACATGGGAAAATTAATCATGAACAATTATTGGTCACCAAAAACTCGACTAAGGGGAATTACAGCGTTCTCCTCTGATGGTTACAGCTCTTAAAAAAACATTTGGGAACCAAAGAAGTGCTATATGAGGAGCCGTCCCCTAAATATAAGAACAAATTACTAACATTGCACCTAGAAGGGTCTGTTTCAAGGAGAGACAGTAACTTAGATCTGCCTGCGTTATACACAGGGCAATACAAAAGGACATGCTCCACAGTTACAACCTCAGCTGTATCACCGGGACATAGCCGCTCATTAATCGGGAGCCTCTTAAATGGCCCATCCAGTAATGCTGAGGGCAAGACATTAAAGCGAGCTAGGGAGAAAGCTCTTCTATACTTGGGAATGGTTAGAGTGTAAAAATAGGAAGCCATCCTCAGTCCGTAAAATAGTACAGTATTGGTTTGTTTTCATTATGGTTGAACAATACATTAATCTGTAGAATTCAGGTAAATTATTTCTGTTTTTCTTTAGGCAAGAAAAACCAAATGCACTGGTATAGAATAGGACAGGTGGTACCTGGCTCAATAGCACTAATTGCTTAGGAGTCCTAGTGGACAATTACTTAAGTTAGCAGGGTGCTGCAGCTGCTAAAAAGGTCTATGCAGTCCTAGGCTGCTGCATTAACAGAGGGATAGCACCAAAACCATAAGAATGGTTAGCACCCCTTTATAAGGCTTATTGCCTTAAAAATTGAAACATTGCATCCAGGTTCACCACAATATAAAAAAGATATTTCTACAAAGAGCGAAGATAAGAGCAACAAAGATGATTAGGGGACTGGAGGCTAAAATATGTGGAGAGGGTCAATCTGTTTTCCAAAGCATTTGAAGGTAAGAAAAGAAGCAATGAATAAAAACTAATCAAGGAGAGAACCGACCTGTAGAAATAAGGAGACATCTCCTGTCAGAACGATTAGTGGAACAGCTTACCGTTAGATGTTGTGGGTGTGCCGTCACTGGAGATTTTTCAGATTGGACAGCTGCTTGTCTGAAATGGTATAGTCATATATATATAGTGTGTCTTGTTGAAGAGGTTAGACTAGACGATCTCCAAGGTCCCTTCCAACTCTATTATTCTGTTATTGAGAAAAAATATCTTGGGAATTTTACCACCAGTGTATATAATTTTAATATGCACTGCTTGAATGTAGATTAAATATAAGATACAGTAGCTGTTCTCATGGCTTGAATTGGCTCTCATAGCTTTTAGGCAGATGGATATACTGCTTTAATATTTAGTGAGGTCTAAGAGGATTGATTAGGGTTTCTTTCACTCTGCATTGTAGCACAAAAACTAACTGGAGGAATGGAACTGTAAATTGAAAATACAGTTTGGCATTTTATATATTTACTGATTTTCAGGAAATGACGACAATTTCTTGATAGAAACATTTTGACAGGTTAGTTGGTTAGAAAAGGGTTATTGGGTGGGTTTTGGAAGTGATTTCTTTTTGTAGTTTTATCCTTTCTTCAGACAAAGTTCTACTGCTTCCTGGTACAGCCATGCTAAATCTTCGGGAATCCTGCTGGGTGCTCACAGGATATGCTTTCTAACAGGCATATAAGAAAGCCATGGAGCCTTGAGAAGAATCTGTTCAGGTTTAGCAAATTGTAACTAAGAATGAAATGACAAAGTGTTTTGTTTTATTTATTAACATTAGCTACCGCATTTTACAGTATAACAGTGGTTTTATTTTTACAGTTCCAGGTACAAGCATGGAGAAAAAGGATAAGCCTCTCCCTAGGCTTAACATTCATTCTGCATTTTGGATATTGTCATCAATAGCTATTACATATTATGTTGAATTTTTTAAAACTGTTAAGGAAATTATTCAAAAAGAAAGGTAAAGATCTGTTTCTATACAAATAAAAGTTGTTACTTTATTTGAACAATATGTTCAGCTTACATTTTAATTTGGAAAAAATACTTACTAAAATTATTTGTAGGTCCTGCCACCCGTCAGTACATTAGGCATGTTACAATTTGAGAAAGTAAATTTCTTATTCAAAAATCATTTGAATCATAACTCAGTATTCCTATCTATACCTTCATTGCAAAGGTTTAATAGAGGATAGTAACTGAAGTAGTTGGGATGGGAAACTAGCCAAGAAGACTTGTTTAAATGATTTTATTTATTATATAGATACAACCATAGTTATACAAAACACATAAAAACATGTATTCACTTCTCACAAGACCCAGAAGGGTTAACAAAGATAACAGTTGCACTAAGTAGGAGAATCATTTGGCTTAAAATTAAACCTGAAAAAGAGCCAGGTCATGTTTAATAAATTCACCAAAGAAAGAAAGAAAAATATCTGGAGAAGAAGGTGATACAATAAAAGAAATTGAATGTTGTGTTAAATATGATAGGCAGACATTTGGCAATCTAAGTGTTATTTTCAAGAACAATCTCCCCTAAGCATGAAGAGAAAAGTTTTTGATCAGTGCGTGCTCTCTGTTCTAACATGTGCCAGCGAAACATGGACACTAATCTCGCAATCAATACAAAAGTGGTGCAAAGAGCCGTGGAAAGAGACATGGTTGGCACCACAATACAAGATAGAAAGACCAGCACATGTAAAAAAAGTGGAAATGGACTAGTCACATACCCAGAAGAACTGATGCCAGGTAGACTAAGGCAGTCGTAGAATAGATTCCATTCAATAAAAACATCTACACAAAAGATCCAAAAACAGATAGATTGACGACATCAAGTATTGCGGCCCAACTAGCAAAAGAAAGCTCAATATCACATTGGTTGGAAAAATACGGCAGAGGCCTTCATCTTGTAGTGGTTAGGCAAAGGCTAGAACGAAAAACATATAAGAACATATTTCTATTTCAATATATCCTAAGTATATACACTTCCATTCCAGATACATGATATACAGTTGTGCTCATAAGTTTACATACCCTGGCAGAATTTATGATTTCTTGGCCATTTTTCAAAGAATATGAATGATAACAAAAACTTTTCTGTCACTCATGGTTAGTGGTTGGCTGAAGCCATTTATTATCAACTGTGTTTACCCTTTTTAAATCATAATGACAACAGAATCTATCTCTGCACATTTTAGTATTTTTTTTATAACACATTCATCTGTAGGAATCTTTTCATTTTTCCATTGTTGTGCAAACATAATTCTTGCTGCTGTTCATACATGTAAAATTAAGTATGTTTTCTCTTTAATATGCTGATCTAGTACTATTCCCAACAAAAATATTTTTAGTTTCAAATCTACATGTTGTTTTATCATTTTTTTCTACGCATCTATGTATTTTAGTCCAGTATTTTTTTTTGCCTTTGAGCATGTCTACCACATAGGATAATATTGCTCTGACCCAAGCTTCGTCAAACATAATTAAACACAAGCTTGTTTTAAAAGCAAAACCTATTTTAATGCAATGCTGGGAATTACTTTCATTCCCATCCAGAACCAATCTTAAACAATTCCCCAAGACGGATTGCCAACCTTTTGGATCTCAGGGACCACCAAACTCATAATTTTAAGACCCTGGGAAAATCCCCCAAAAAGTCTGCAGGAAAATTCCCCACCCCGTTTTCCTACCAATCATTCTTTATTTGGGATTGCAGGATACCGCCGAGAGAGAGAGAGAGAGAGAGAGAGAGACTGGAAAGCAGCAGAAGTCTTTCTCTCCCCCAACTTCTGCCAGAAATGAGACTTGTCGCGCTGGCTCAACGTCTTGGCGCAGGATGCCTTGCAGGATCCCAAAGACTCATTTTCTAGCGGAGTTTGGGGAAGAGAAAGACTTTTGCTGCTTTCCTTGCATGCAGCCAAAAGCAAAAGAAAGAAGCGGAAAGAAGCAGCCTGATGGCCAGGCCAGGCATGTGGGGCAAATTACCCCCCTCCGCCCTTCCCCCTCTCCCCTCACTACCTCGTGTTCGTAATGCAAGCGACGCAAGCCTTGTGTTCCTGTGGGCCATGTGGGCAGCAGAGCCTTGTGTTCCCGCGCAGCCTGTATTAATTGCTTTAGGGGGGTGCTTTGGGGGTGACATTTCTCTGCGGACCACCAAAATTTTCTCATGGACTACCAGTGGTCCCCGGCCCACTGGTTGACGACCACTGCCCCAAGATAAGCACATGCCTTTCAGTGCTGTGGAATGCTGCCAAAAACAGAAGTATCCAATTAATTATAACAGAAACCAATTGAAGTACCAGAAAAAAACAACCAGAATACACAGAGCTTCAAGGAGGACTTGGAATCTATCGAACTACTTTGCTTCCTGCAAAGGTTTCATCATTGAGGTCTGACTTTCATCCCTTATGGGAGGGGCCAATCATCTCCCAGACTTACTCCCGAGTCGCTCCTTCTGTTTCAGCTGTTCTCGCCTTCTCGCAGCTTTGCACATACGCACCCTGGGAACAGGCTTCCCTGGGTCTTCTGCTTCGCTGCTGCCAGACTCCGAAGCCTCCATAGGCAGCATCCCACTCCCAGATGGTCCTGGCCCCATCCCTGCATCGGACGCAGGACCCTCGTCCAAGTCCTCTCCAGACTCTCTGACTGGTCCCCTTTCTTCCTCACTGTCCGATTCCGCTGCCATCTGCACCGGCTGCTGGTGAACCACAACAAATATTGATAACATGAACCTGGTATCTGATTACACTTCCAACATTTAGCTGATAAGCTTTCATTCATCTTTACTAATCTCGCAGGTGGTAAATGCATTTTGTATACATTTTCCTTATATGCCGTTGACATTGTTGGTTTGCAGTTTTTATTCAATAATTTCTGCCATTTATCTAGTTCTATGGAATAAGCCACATTTTTTCGCCCATTTTATTGTTTCTTTCACTTGCTCTTCTTCCATTTTAATACTCAACAAATAGTAACACATTTTTAAATGAATGTTTCATCTGTCCCTAATAGTTCCGTTGGTTCTTTATAAAAACCATACATTCTTGCGTCTTTCTCATATCTTGATTGAATTTGCACATGTGGCCACCCTGCTAAATCAATCCCTTGAATAATCAATTCCTGTTTAGATTTGAGTTCCCCTTTGTCTAGAGCCTTGGTGGTGCACTAAGTGCTGTACTGCAGGTTACTTCTGCTGACTACTGGCTGCCTGCAATTTGGCAGTTCAAATCCCACCAGGCTCAAAGTTGACTCAGCTTTCCATCCCTCCGAGGTGGGTAAAATGACAGCCCAGATTGTTGGGGGCCGATATGCCCCCAACAGGTTAGGGAGGACTGGAAAGCACTATAAAGCGGTATATAAGTGCTATTGTTATTGCTAAAATCTCCCTTCATCTCACAATTTTTTCCGTATTAATCACATTCAGATGTGTCAATGCCTCCATTGTGGAGAGCCAGACTGGTACTTTCATAAAGTGTCTTTCTTTGACTTTTCCCCATACTAACAGTAATGCATTTCTAACCAAATGTCTCTGAAAATATCCATGTACCGTATATACTCAAGTATAAGTCGACCCGAATATAAGCCGAGGCACCTAATTTTGCCACAAAAAACTGGGAAAATTTATTGACTCGAGTATAAGCCGAGTTTTTCAGCACATTTTTTGTGCTGAAAAAAAACCCCTAGGCTTATACTCGAGTGAGATTCCCTCTGAAAGGAAAATGGTGTGGAGCTACGGAGCTGGGCAGCCGCTTCCCTGCTTCCGTGTTTCCTTCGCAACTTGTAAGCATGGGGGTAATCGGAAGCAGAAAAGTTCTTGCATGAGGATATATTGTTTTTTCTTTATTTAACTGTTTTTAGGGGGGGAATCATGTGAGAATGCTCAGACACGAAATCTATCCGCCTGAAAATAAGTGAAACAAGAAGCTCCGCCGTGCAATGAAAGCGCCCTGGCTCTAGGCTCAGAAAACAACGCGAGCCGAGGTGGCTTCGTTTCCTCAGCCCCAGCTGCTTTCAGTCCGCTCAGGAGGAGGAGGAGGAGGTGGTGGCTTGCCTTCTTACAGGATGATTTTTAATCATGATTTTCTAGTCTAGTTTGTTTTTAAATTTAATCTCATGAGTCAGAATCCCTAGAAATCATCCTCTAAATACCAACCACACCTAACCATGTTTGGCTTCTGAGCCCAGACAAGGTTGTCCAAATGTTTTACTTAAACTCAGGCCTCTTTTCTCTCTCTCTCCTGTGGTTCCAGTCTTAGTTTCTCAGGTGCCCATATGCTAAAAAGTCCCACACATACCCGAGGAGGACCTCTTTAACAGTTGAAACCTGAAGCACCATAAAGACACAAGTCTTTCTCAGCCAATGTAAGAACAGTCCTGATCTGGATTAGCCTCCTAATTGAGCCAATGTTCATACCATTGATGTATACTTAATAGCTAGCTTATTGTGGCACTTACTCAGTTCTCCTTTTCTCTGTCTTGCAGTGGGTGGTTTGTCCTTGGCAGCTGTTTATTAGCAGTCAGTCTGTCAGTGGCATTTTATTGCATCATATATCTCGAATGGTATCATGGAATTGCAGACTATGAAACTAGCTATCCCACTCTCGTTCCCATCACAACTGCTAGCTTTATTGCTGCAGCAGTTTGGTAAGTTGGCCAGTCATAGAATAAACTGATATTAATGGAGAGACCTAACTTAAAGGTAACTGTTAAAATATTTGTGAGAGGAGACAATAAGGTCAATTTTTGTAATGCTGTTCTATCATGTTAGCTTTAGCTCTCTTGAGGCCATTTTAAAAGCTTGTGTAAAATTTAACATGTTCAGGGTGTTTCAGAGCCATTGATTTAGCTTCACCATATGTTGTTGAGACTTTTGGTCCTGATGAAATTCCACATTTGTTAAAGAATGAACTGGGGTCTCTTAACTTAGATAAAGGGATTAAAATTGGTATAGAGAAAAAGTATTCAGCAAAGTAATATAGTTTATTATTACATTTATATCTCACTGCAGTCAAACCACTTTCTGGTTAACATAACTTAGGAAAAAAATAGTTAAAATCCCCAATAGGAATAAAATCAGCATAAAATAAAAACAGTATAATAATATAATAATGTAACTTAAGCACAGAACCACTCCTGCTACTATGAAGCTACCCCTCCTGATCAAACACTAAGAGCAGTTTCTCTCTAGATGGCTCAATAGATTGGTAAGCTCTGTGCTGGTAGAGGTACCTCAGTGGCAAACCCATAAAGGTGTTTGAGTTAAAGCCAACACTTTAAATTGCACTGTTAAGCTAATTCCAGTGTGTTGAACATAGAATTTTTTCCCCCAATTATTCAATTATTTCAAAAACAAAGTTATGCTCACTGCTATTCTACGTATTTCTGTTGCTTCACTTCTCATGGCTCCTCAGAAGCTGCCAGGTTTAGTCAGCAGAATGAGGCTGTTCAGAAGCAGTCTTGTTCCACACCTGATTCACCTGGGGGCATTTTCCCAGGAGCTCTCTGGAAGCCATACAGGTGCATGAGGCATCCATGGATATTCATGGCAGCTCATCCATATTCCGTATAGCTTTTTTCTGTAATAAAATACTTCAAAGTATGCCATATTGCCAGATTGGCATTGCTTCCAAAGTGTTTAATTTAATTAAAGGGGTACTGGATTAAATCTTTTTATTAAAAATAAAAAGTGATTTTGCATTCTCCAATTGCAATTATATTGCATTGGTTCATTGTACATGAAATAGACGGGTGAGGGAACAATATAGATTTTGTTCACTGTTTTGAAAGCGGGCCATTTCATACCGTAACAGGACTCACATCGGATAACAGATAGGTATTAAATTGCACTTGCCCTTGTGCTGCTGTGGAATAGACAAGAGTGATTATATTTTTTTTCTTACTAGTATTTTCTGGCAAATGCAGGGTCCACCTTTTTCAGATCAACTGATCGCTGCTCCATTGGTTGTGACAGGAATTGCCCAAGCTTGACGTCTAAGGCTGCCCAGGCCTGGGCTAAGTGGGAAGGACTGGCCCCCAATCACCCAGCTTTGCTTTCATGCTGCCGCCTTGCAAACAGAATTCAGAATTCTCCTGGTTTCTAGCCTGGTGCCTTAATTCCTAGACCAAACTGGCTCTCAACTAGATTGATTATAAAGAACCTAGGAAAAAGGGATCGTTTTAAATCACTGGTTTAAATTAAGTGCTAATTTATATTACATATATTTCCTAAATACTAGCGTAGCCTAAAGCTTGAATTAAGTTGTCTGCAGCTGTATGTAGGCATCAGCACATACCTGCACTACAAAGGGGCTGATGGGTAAGTGTGGGTTGCAGATGGCTGCAGACAGGCCCACCACGCACATGTCCTTGCATGCTGATTGGTTGATCCTACTTCCTGTCCTGTGCCTTACCGCTTGACCATCTCCTAGCCACAATGTTACCATGTTCAGAAATAGAAATGCAAAACCTCTGCAGTCTTCCCCAAACGACAGATGCCATACATTCCTGATACGCAGTGACAGAGAAATCTGATCCAGGCTTAATTCCTTGATATATATCTTATGAAGTAACATCTTAATCTACAAATTTATATAATCTCAAGAACATGGTTTATGAATTGCTAGCTTTTTCCAGAGTGCACACACATGTGTATCAATTACAGATAGTCCTTGGTTACCAACCATTCATTCAGTGACGGTTCATAGCTACAATGGGTCTTCATAGTAGCCATTGTAGCATACATTTGGTCAGTCATGTAATGTCAGTTTGGCCATCTGGCAACCATATTGCAGTTGCGATCAAATATGGTCACAATTTGCAAGTTTCAGAGATGCTTCCACAAGCAAAGTCAATGGGGAAGCCATGTGATATGTTTACTAAACATATGTGATATGTTTAGTCTTGTGATATGTTTACTAAACCATGACAATTCATTTAATTATCCTGACAACTGACGTTGTAAGTCATCAGTCACATGATGTACTTGATGACTACGACCTTTAGTGACGGAATTCCCCTGTCCCTATTAGTGAGGACAACTGGTACTTATCATGGTTCTTTTTATAATTATGAATTAATTTAAATTTAGAATGCTATCTAGAGAAAAAGGTAAGAGACTTAGCAAGAGTAAAAACAAAGATATTTGTGTTTCTGTGTGTGTGAACATATATTTATTTATGAATAGATTACTGAAAGACGTTTCAAGATGAATAAAAGAGACTTTTTAAGTTAATAGGTTAAGCATAAGTATGATAAACTACATGTAAAATTGCTAATATTAAACTAAAATTAATCATTCTTTTTTCATTCCCAGTTTTAACATTTCCTTGTGGCCTGTGTGGTCATTTCTGACGCCTCCAGTGCTCTTCATCCAGTTTATGGGTATAGTCATGCTTGTGTCCCTGTTGGGCTAGACCTCGCAGGTAAGACCGTCTGGGTGCTTAACTCTGTTTCTCTGAATGACCAAATCTCTTCACTGGCATACAGTTATAGACCTGGAACATGTTGCGAGGCTGACCAAAGCAAAATAAAATTGAACTGTTACTTTCTGTGGTTTGGAAGATGTTTTTTGTGGAATTGTGTAGTGCTTTTTGGCAGTTGTATCACTCAGTCTGAAGTACTGTCAGCACCAAAGCTCCTGGTAGATGGTTGATCTTAGCTGAACTTGAAAAACTTAAGCAGAACTTGGTCTTACTGCTACTTGAATAGGGCACCATCAGGAAATCCAGGCATGTTGTGCTGACTCAGAGATTTTAAAAAAAGAGATATCCTATATACCTATTTTTATTTTCTGAGCAACGGTCTCCCTTTTTCTATTTTCTAGTTACCTTTTCCATACCACGGTTTAATATCATATGCAGATCTAATTGTCATTCCTACCATTTCATTTACTGAGTACTTCAAAATTACTTTCTCTCTCACTGTTATGTTGTCCAGAAAGTACTTCTTTGCTTATCAGAACGTCCTCAAGTATTTCATCAAATGCTTGGTGATTTGAAGATTTGAAAGGTCCATTTGTACAGTGATCTGTGGAAGAATTACTTAATGAGAATAAACAAGATATGGTTATTTTGTTAATATGCTAACTCAGGCTGATTTCTCACTGTTGCATTGTTTTTTATGATCTCTTGACTGAAACTTGTCATATTTTGTTTTAGGTTCTGTCTACTCTTCATGTCATAGTGAAGGGTCTGGATTTAATCATTCTCCCCATTTTGAAGTTTGGGGCAACACCTATTCTCGGCCACTTCAACTTCAGAATACACAAAGGGTCAGCAAGATCACCATCAAGTTTCTTCAGTACTATGGAAGGAAAGATTTAATCAGAAGTACATAGAAATCCCATGGCCATGTCTCCTTCATTTTCAAACGTCATTTTTGTTCCTTATGCCATTCTTCACTATTTCTTGTTGAGCAAAACTGAACCAATTGCATTCCAAAAAAGATAACCAAAAGCTGTGTTTAAACAAAATGCCATTCGTTTGTTTGTAGGCTGAACTGCCAGATGGCAGGATTTGAAGATGAAACCTGCGGGTAATAAAGTTTGGACAGTCTAAAATCTCACCTTCATCGAGTAAAACAGTTGAACTAAAATATGGTTATGAAATTAAGTATCATGTCATATTCTCTGAGCTGTTTTTAATGTTTCAAGATATTTACATCGTATAGATTGTTGACATACCCATGTTTCCCCCCCCCACAAAAGACCGGGTCTTACTTTCTTTTGGGCCTTAAAATAAGTACTAGGGCTTATTTTTCCAATGTATGGGAGGCCCACTTCTTCTGTTTGCTTGTGGCGGGGCAGGAGGCTGCTCAGTGTGCCAATGCAGCCACCGTGAGGCAGAGGTAGAACTGCCCCACGTGCCTTGCACTGGCTTACCTCAGGGCCCCCATAGCCAAGCCACCCACACCCCAACACCTGCCTCACCTCATGGCTGAGGGATCAGCACACTGCTCAGCCTCCTGTTCTGTTGCCACCACGAGCAAGCAGAAATGGGCTGGCGACCACATGGGCTCCTGTTGCACATGGCTATCAGTACTGCTACCGCGAGACAGGCGTTGGGCTGTGGATGGCCTATGGGGGCCATGACTTAATCCGGTGTGGGGCAGCTCTACCACCACCCTGACTCGCTTCATGGCTGTGGCACTACAAGCAACCAGATGGAATGGGCAGTCAGCCGGTGACGCAGGCTCTTTGATGGGGCTTATTTTGGAGGGTGGGGCTTATATTAGGTGAACACGTAAAACATGCCAAGGGTTATTTTTGCAATAGGTCTTATTTTCAGGGAAAGGGAAGAAACAACATAATTGCATTTTAATTTAAGGTGAATTCTTCATCTCTGTGCATTATACAGAACGGTAAAGATATTTTGCAGGGTCTAAGATACTCAGAATGCTTGGATTCCTTCTCTGCCATAAATTTATTAGATCACCTTAGTGAAGTCAAAGTCAATTCCAGATTTAGTGTCCCCAGATTTAGTGATTTTCAATATGATGCTGATTTATATGTATGTGTATATGTGTGTATATATGTATGTATGTATTATGTATTATTACCTTTTTAAAAAGGCCTTAGTAAGACCAGGCTTGGCATACTGCATCTAGTTTTGGTCACCATGTTATAAAAAAGATGTAGTGACATTGGCAGGAGTGCAGAAAAGAGCAGCAAAGATCATTAGGGAGCAGGAATTGGGTTTGTCTAGTTTAGTGAAAAAGTAGGACTTGGATAGCAGTATTCCAACATTTGAGGGGCTGCCACAAAAAACAAGGAAGTCAACCTATTTTCCAAAGCACCAGAGAAGAAAAGAAGAAACGGTGGAAACCAACAAAGGAGAGACGGAACCTAGAACTAAGAGAAATTTCCTGACAGAACGATTAACCAGTGGAACGGTCTGACCTTCAGAAGTTACGGGTGTTCCATCACTGGAGTCTTTTAAGAAGAGACGGGACAGCCACCTGTCCGGAATGGTATAGGGTCCTTTGCTTGAGCAGAGGGTTGAATTAGATTACCTCCAAGGTCTCTTCCAAATCTGTTATTCTGTTATACTAAGAATTGTATATGTGTATCCCTCCACTTGGAAGGAAAAGCAATTTATAAGTAAAATGGTTTGCATGCCTTTGGGATCTAGCTGAATTTTTCTAAAAATTGGAGTTGTTGTTTAACGAGGTGCTTTTATTGTAATTTATTTCACGGAAAGACAACAAATACAGTTTCTTTTATTAAACAGCAAACCAACCTGGAAGAGCATGTAACAAAATCATTGTAATCTTTTGACAGGATATTTAGTATATGATGCCTTTAGCTGTTGGGAACTAGTGTGCTTAAAAATCAGCCCTCTCTACTATTCTGTGCTTCACCTTGAAGAGGAGTCTGGCTACTCAGGATCAAGCTTTAGGAAGTTGCCTTATTCCAAGGAAAGTCCTCTTTTGAGCTGAGTTGTTTCCCACGAATACACTTTCAATCTGAAGTCTTCTGCAGCATTCTCTTGAGGTGTCAAGATTAAATGTGAAAAACACTTATAGTAATTACTTTAGTTATAAAAATGTTTGTGTGTCATAATCTTCAACAGACATACATATACATACATACATACATATATATATATATATATATATAATGTTTCCCTGAAAATAAGACCCAACCAGAAAATAAGCCTTAGCACAATTTTTCAGAATGGTCGTAAAATATGCCCTGCCCCCCAAAATAAGCCCCAGTTAAGATCATCAGCCAGGTGGATGCAGTTTGTACAGTATGTTCCCGAAAATAAGACCTAACCAGAAAATAATCCCAAATGCATCCTTTGAAGCAAAAGTAATATAAGACGCAGTCTTATTTTCAGGAAAACAAAGTATTCGGGGTTTTTTTTGTATCAGCCGTCCTCCCCTTCGATGAAACTAAGGCGCGAGGATTCCTTCAGGACCCAAACGCCGCTTTCCAACCGGAAAAGCTCACCCGGAAGCACTTTCTCATCAAAACAAGATGGCAGTGCCCAGCAAACCGGCGGCCCGGTAGGAAATGTTCCACGGCTCGGTACCGGTCCAGGGCCCGGTGGTTGGGGACCCCTGCTATAAAGGACTCAGATGTACTAGGTTTGGGGGAATAACCTTGAGGTACTATTATAGGAAGGCAAGTATGATAACTAGTTTCCATTATCAAAACCTGGTGGGAGGAAACTCAGTTAGGATCTACTGCTGGAAGGATATAAACTGTTCAAAAGAAACAGTCCTAACAAAAGAGGAGGTGAAGTTGCATTATATGTAAGAAATCATTATACCTGTACAGAAATGCATAAAACCAAGGATGAAAGCCTCCTTGGATGCATAGGGGTTAAAATAAAAGGAAAAAAGAATGACATTGCCATAGGCGTATATTCTAGGCCACACAAGCCAAAAAAAAAAGATTAACTTTTTGCTAAGCAGTTAATTAATAGAACAATAGCACCTAGACTTATATACCACTTTACAGCCCTCTCTAAGTGGTTTACAAAGTCAGCATATTGCCGCCAACAATCTGAATCCTCGTTTTACTGACCTTGGAAAGACGGAAGGCTGAGTCAACCTTGAGCTGCTCAAAATCGAACTCCTAACAGTGAGTTAGGTCTGCATTCTAACCATTGCACCACCACTACATATATGTAGGAAACATACCATAGTAATACTGGGGGATTTAAACTACCCTGACATCAACTGGGAAATAAATTCTGAATGAAGCGGGAGATCAAATAGGCTCACTGGGATCCTGACTGAAAACTTTTGCCATTCAAAAGGTAGAGAGGACTATAGGAAAACCTGTATTGAACCAAAACTTTACAAACAAAGATGAAATGATGGTGTGTGTGTGTGTGTGTGTGAAATTGCAGGAACTTTGGGGGAAAGTGACCATGTTATATTGTAATTCAATATAATGCAGACACAAGCAATAGAACAAAATCAAAGTAGCGTCTTATACCTTAAACAGCCGATTTCAACAAACTTAGAGCGAGCTTGGGAAGGATTCCATGAATGAAAATGTTAAAGAGGGTTCTACTCTCTGTTTTTGCTGGCAGAGGCACCATGGACCAGTCCTTTGCTATTTCCTCTACACTAGCCAAACCCAAATCCTGCAAACCAGGTTCATCTTTTCGTCTCCAGCATCTTCGTTGCTTTCCTCTTCTCTGCACTTTTTCCAAAGTCTCAACCTTTTTTTTTTTGTAACGTGATGACTAAAACTGGATGCAGCGTCCCAGGTGTGGTCTTACTAAGACTTTATAAAATGGATCTTTCTACGCCTGTTTATATACCCACGTATTCGCTTTTTTAAGCTGCTGCTGCCGCACACTGCTGGTTCATATTTAAGGGATCGTCCAAGGACTCACAGTTATTGTTTTTGAGCCAGGTTTCGCCTAATCTCTCCTTGGACCTTTAGTTTGTAAGTGTATTTGTCAGGTGAAGCTGTTCTCTGTGTTCCTTATTTTCTTGAATTTGAGGAGTACTTCAGTTAGAAATATCCATGTTAGACTTGACGTTTAATTGGACTCGTATTTAAGTATTGTAAACTGAAGATAGCCTGGGTCCCTCACCTTCCGAGATGCTCCGAGAAACACTCGTCTGTTGGGCGCTGCCCCGTTCCCTCTCTCCTTCAGTCATCTGGCTGCTCGGATTCTCACCCACCGACTTCAGAGGCGCAGTTTGAACCGAGGCAAAGGGGTCGCAGCCCCCCGAGTCTACGGTGACTGAAACCCGATGCTTCCTGCGTCCCGCCCGCTCCAGGGCTCTGCGGCTCCTCCATCCCATAAATACTACGCGGAGACCGGAGGAGGGATAGCAAGCAGGAAGGCTGCCGCGACGGGGAGGTCTTGCTGCAGAGCCCGGACGGAGCGCCCTTTTCCCGCGCATTATCCGCCTTTAGGAGCCCGAAGAGCGGAGGCTTCCCTGGGGCAGCAACTGGCGAAGCGCGGCCCTTGGGAGGGAGCATCGACAGGGGCCCCTGCCCGCCTCTGCTCTCCGCTCCGGAGATGCTTCCAGGCTGAGCCGGCCCGCACCCTCCTCCAACAGCGGGCATCTCCAGGCCAAAGCCTCTCTCGCCCATGGGTCTCCAAAGAAGCCCCTTCGAGGCCGCCTCGACGGGCCCCCAAACCAGCTCCACGGCGGGTGGCTGGCAAGGGGAGAGCCCAGCCGAGGAAGCCCGGCTCCCGCCGATCCAGCGGCTCAGACGGGCTGAAAGCCGCCGGTGGCCTCTGCCGCCCGGGGCCGGACGAAGCTGCCCGCAAAAAAGCGCCGAGACCCTGAGCAGCCAGTACGGGCTGCATCTCCTGCTGGCCGGGCTGCTGTTGATGTTCGCCTGGGCGGTGCACGCCGTCGGGGTGGCCAAGAGCGCCGTCCTGGCCTACCTGCTCTCCCTCATGGCGCTCCAGCTCCTCTGGATGGTTTGGTACCTCGGCCGCCGCTGCGCGCACAAGAGGCTCATCCAGGACAAGGACACCCAGGCCGGGGCCCGCTGGCTCAAGTGTGAGTGCGGCGGGGCGAGGGCGAGCCCGGCGAGGGCGCCTCCGGCTGGGAAAAC